CCTTGTCGTTGCTGTTGTTGTTGTTGCTGCTGTTGTTGTCGCGCAGGCCATCACCTGCACCGTGTCGTTGACTTCCGGCAGCCTCAGGAAGCCTGGGTTCGGACACTGGATCCACCCCCCAAAAAAACAGGAAATTTGCAAGCGCTGGTGGCATTGGTACACTGCACCAGTACGTAGTTTGACAAATGGTTCGGATGCTTTTGAAAGCAATGCCCCGGCAGTGGTGGACTAAAACAGCAACGCGCAAACACTTCCTTCGAGGGATCACAAAGATAGCTCCACCCTCGGCAGAACATACAACTTGTCCACTTTCCCGCTCGGACAAAAACCCTCATGAAAACCCGCCCAGGGGCAGCTCAGGCAAAGTGTGCATAGGCCATCACCCGCACCTTGTCGTTGACTTCCGGGCTCGTGTGACAGCAACCCCCCATCATCAAACAAACGTCACCAGGGTTGAGGCTCAAATCCTCGAGTGATTTTTTTCGGACGGATGTGAGCAGCACAAATGTCTGGAAGTTCACGCTTGCATTCACCTTCCGCCAGACAATACTTACAAAATACCATTAACAACTTTCTGCACGTGTTCGGGCAGTGCAATGACAAGCTATTTGTGCTTGGGTTGGCTTACAAAAACCCCAGAAAACAGCCGTCCTCCACCACCAATTGGCTCAACAGCTGCTTCGGCACTTCCCAGAATCGGCCTTTACATTCGTCTTTCTCGATTTCCTTGTGAAACCTCGGTGCACACCGTGTATGTTATGCCGTTTCGTCTTGCGCGATGCCAACTGCCACAAAACACGGGAGATTTCAAAGGCTGCTCCGACAAAACCGGAAATAAGTATTCCCCGGAAATGTTCAGGAACCCTGCAGTGTGGGTGAAGCACCCCAAAGCGAATGGCATCTTGGAACAAAAAGGCAACCGTCGCGGGTCTCCAATATGATGGCGAAACGAAACCCATGGATGAAAAGCAGGCTCGTCAACACCAAGCAAACTTCATCAGTGCAAAATGCCGTGCCCTGACTAGGGGCTTGTTGTGGGACGCTCTCGCCAGCCGGACCGTGGCCGGCGTCAGTGCCATGAGCACCTGCAAAGTCCCAACTCGGCCGTGGTCAACGTGCCAAACCCATTGGCCACACCCCTTTGGCTTCACGGATACGGCATCCTGGGCACGGCGGCGGAACCCTACATTACCCCAATCGACCTAATGACATATTGCCGGCAACCTTTTGAGGCTGAGCATCTGCCATATTGGTAAGCCATGCGGGGTTCTGATTTTGGATGCGGGCGATCGTATCTCTCATCATCTCCTCACGGGCAGATGATACCAAAACAAGCTGCGAAGCAAGCAATCCTTGACCACACTACTTGCCAAAACACGTAACGCAATACCGAGTCTATATATATATATATACTTGCAACCCGCAAATCTGCACGCGATTGCAGCCAGACACCCCAAACAGTATTGGGAGGGACCGACGTGAGACAACAGCAGAAACAGCGGCGGTGCTTGACTGGACCTCTGGACAGCACGCGTTGCATTCTCTGTCTCCGGAACTCTTGAAAGCAGTAGCACCGGTTCTGTGTAGCAGGGAGAACTTGTGCAAGAATTGTGTCTCAGGATATCTGCACAGTATCGATACTCTTGTATTACATCTCTGTCTCCGGATATCCTGAAAGCGCGAAGGTCTGTGGACCATGGATCTCGTGACGACTTGGGCAAGGTCTGTGTCTCAGGAAAATCATTTCTGCTGCACTTGTACGAAATCTCTGTCTCCGGATCTCTTGAAAGTACTCGTGCTAGGAGACCTTGGAAAGACTTGCGCAAGACCGATGTCTCAGGACATTGGCTAGCGTTCTGGTTTACAAATAGTTGTGGAGACATGTATTTTGATATATACCTGCAAAATCGTGAAAATGAGAGTTGCGATAGATCTTTCGCCCAAAAAAGTTGCTTTCGCAAATCCCTTCGCGAATCTTTCGCGGACCCTGATCTCAACACCTGAATGGCTGTCCTTTACTAAATCCGTTTCACGGACCTTTTCGATCAACCCTCAAATCTCTCAAGATCTTGCGCAGAGAGCAAGATGGCACGGTAAGTATACCGGTCAAATCCAAACCCGACAAAGCACCTTCCCTTACTCTTACCGGTAAAAAATGAAAACTCCTCTGTGGACGCACTGCTCAGTAATAAAACGCCCGGCGGATGACGCCTGGAGTGCGAAAACTTCAGGCTTGTGCTTGAAGACGGCCGACTTGAACAAGAGCCCAATGCCAGAGCCCTTCCTCAAGAAACATGAAATCCATTTCGTTGAATCCCATTGTCTGATCTCAAGCTTTGGTGGCCCATGGCCTTGCCTTTTCAGCGCAAAAAGTTTAACAACGCAAATTCCTTCACATATCATCCAACCAAGCCTTTTGAAATTAGTTTTAAAAATCCTCCAAGCATCATCCAACCAAGCTGGTGCTTGGCACCCCACCTCGGCCCGCCAAAGTCGGGCGGCGTCTTCATCCACTGCTGACAGGGAACATCGGACAAGGACTGAAGAACGTCGTTGTTTTCCTTCATGTCGCCTGCCGACGGCACCCACCGCCGCACGTGTGCCACAATGCAGTCCATGACTGCGGTGCGACGGTCTTCGGGCAAATGGTCTCGGATTACCACGAAGCTGTCCTTCTCAAGTGCGGAGCGCCACATTGCAGCCATAGAGCACAGACCTCGCTCAGGCTGCATCACTTCCACTCTGTTTGGCAGTGAGGGAATCTGCTTCTGCTTCAGGCTCACTTTCTTCGCTTTCTTGGGCTTTGCTACATCATGTTGCTTTGCAATCATCTTGGGCTTTGCCACATCGTGTTGCTTCGCAATCGTCTTGGGCAAGCCGCCCGCTGCTGGAACCAGAGTGCTTGCATCCCAATTCTTCGTGACATTCTCCCACACTCGAGAAAGAAGAGTGTAGACGGCTTTCTTGGTCTTCTCCTCCTGACGATCGATCGGGTTGGCAACTGGATCAGCAGCCGTAACCGGTGGAGTTTCATCAGAATGTCGAAACGTGATGGGGTCGAAGCCCCCAGAACCCCTCGCACAAAAATACTTGAGGCCAGGGAAAGCTAACCATGAGTCCTGGAGGTAAAATGTTTGCGGGTTTTCTGCAAACTATTGGCACTGGGCATGGACCGCGATGGGGGTACGATCAGGATCACGTTCATGATGATGATTTTGATGATGATGATGAGGATGAGGATGAGCTCCGTTTGCAAGCTTCTGCTTGGGAACCGCATCACACTCTCCGAAGATGCAGGGAAGAAGATGATGCTGATGATGATGATGGTGGTGATGATGACGATGATGATGATGATGTTGATGATGATGATGATGCGATAGAATTGAGAGGAGGAGGATGAGGAAGACATCGAGGAAGACACCGGGGTTGGCGCGGTTCGCGGGGTTCTCGGCACGGGGTTGGCAAGGTTGGCGGGGTTCACGGGGTTGGCGGGGTTCTCGGGGTTCTCAGGGTTGGCGTGGTTCGCTAGGTTCGATGGTTAGTTGTTGTCTATCCTACCATTCTGCTGTTTGAAGCTTTTGTCGCATAGTTCCTAACAGTCCATCTCTCTCTCGGGGGAGCCGGGCCCACCCTCATTCGTGCGAAACATCAAGCTTTAGGGCATGGAGCCTATCCCAACATATTGCTAAAACAAAGAAGAACTCCAGCTAGCACAGCTAGCTTTCGTGTTAAAGCAGCAAAGAGCTCCTTGAAGGTCATCTTGATTTGCACACCACTTGTTGCAACACCTTGGAAGCAGGGTGGAACCTTTTCAGAGTGTCTTGGGTCCTCTTGGCCCCCCTTGGGTTCTGTATCTCTGCTAGTGATCTTATTTGGGCCAGATTGTGGCCAGAGCAGCCAACAAAGTGCAGCAAAGGAACTGTCAGCACGACCGCTGTCTCTCAAAGCAGCTACTGCAGACGTTCGTTTGCCGCAATCCATGTCCAAGCACCATTGCTTGGAAGAGCGGCCGTCTTTGAACGGCATTTTGCGGTCCGAAAAGCATGAAAAAACCTGATCATTTGGCGCTTCTTCCCGTAGCTTGCTACTAGCATGTTCGAAACCAAAACCTGAGGACCGTGTGAATCTGAGGATTCATCACTTCAAGTTGTGGCTCGTACTTGTTTTTTGCAGCTGGGACGAAGTCAAACGGAGTTCAGTTCACCACTACACATGGACGCCCAGCTTTTGGCTTCGGGCTTCGGCCGGGCATGATCCAAGTCCAACGATATCCAACGATCACTCCAACGATATCCGACGGTGACTCAACCTGAAGAGTCGAAACTGTTGCAACCTCATGAGCATTGTGACAAAACAAGTACATCCTCATTGGTCTGTTTTTAAAGCTTGGGTTTAGATGTCACGGTTTAACATGTTTCAACCAACTCTTGGCTACAACAGGTGGCAAACAACTTGGTGATATCAAACCTTCTGCAAACTGTGCGGTTTTCTGGTAAAATGTGGTTATTTCTGGGATATTTGGGCGGTCCACGTCACCCCTTTTGCTGTTCACCCCCTCAACTTTTCAGTGAATTCTGTTGTTTGGAGGATTGTTGTCTAGACAAACTTGGATGAATTTGGGGTAGGTGGAACGACTGTTGCTTTGGTTCCGTCCAAAAGCAACATTGCTGACCTAGACCTAGTTGCGGTCGCAAAAACAAAGGAATTCTTTTTGAACACTGGTGGGAATCCGTTGACGCTCACGACCTAGGTCGAGCCCACCGCAGACCCATCCCGTGTGGATCCTGTCGGACAATCCCGCAGCGATCCCATGGAGAGACCCGAAATGGTCTTGGATCCCCCGATGGACCAGGTTGAAATTCATTCTGAGCCAAAGACCGCCAAGACCCTGATTTTGAACGATTCGAAGCAATGGACTACTGGCTCAGTCTTGGCTCCCACGAGAGCCACTATTGTTTTGTCCTCCTCAGTGAAAATCTCATGGCTGAAAACCAAGCAGCACCATGGCAGTGGCCATCTTCACATCTTGGGCGAGAACCACCTGCCCAACCACTGCGCGGTTCAGTCAGTGGTTGGAGTGGTTTTACGATTTATAGGTTAATAAGATCCCAATATGACAAGCTGCAAAGCAAATGGCAAAAGAAAACTTTCAGACGATTGACGCAATCAAGTGGCAAACACAACAGGTGGGTGTGCAATCCATTGTCACCGGCACAGCAATAGGAGGTGCATTGATCTTGTATGCGTGAAACCCTAAGTAAGCGTAAAACCTGAAGCCAAACAGAAAATAAAGCTTTTGCATCCCTGCCTGCGGGCGGTCGAAAGGAGGAATAGCTTGTTGACGCAGCGAAATCACTGATTAGACCCATCTCTTGGATACCCTCCCTGCCTGTGCCCCTGGCCCACACTCGAAGGGCTCCGCCAATGCCGTCGGGGCCGCTGTAGCCGTGGCCGCGGCGGTCGCGCCAGGCCATGTGGCCTGCAAAGACGTCCGGCAAAGGTGAGGATCGAAGACTCGAATCGTTTGATTGGGAGGTCAATATAGACCTACCTACAGGGATTTTTGGAGCTTCAGCGCTGCAAACCCGGTGGGGAGTTTGGGCTTGTTAAGTGGAGCGAGTATAGGAGGTCTCTTTAGAGAATGTTCCAAATTGAGGCCAATCTGCAAGGATCAAACACAAGAATAGAGAGGTTGTCCCGCAGGATAAGGTTGAAGGGTGGCCGAAGTACCAGCGGGACAACGCGTCACATTTCGGGTCATGGTTGGGCTGGCTGTCTTTCTACATCTGCGGTTTGTGATTCTATGGGGATTCAGCTAGAACAATGCATGGTCTTGACAAAAAAGAACATGTTCAAGGCAATCACCGCACTATACACACTCGCGTGCGGGCTTACAAGCCAAGTGGTGCAAAATGTCTTCGATCAAGAGCAATTGAAGATACATGTTGTCAAAGCCAAGTTTAACAGTTCATCAGCTGAAAACCCGAAATAATCAGATATATCCTTTGATTCACCCTTTTCAGATGGCGTTTTCCTGCATCATCCCAGGTGCCTGCAAAGCATCTGCCAGCTTCTGCAAGCTCTCAGCATCTTGTGCCAGTAAAGCGGGACCCTCCTGGAGCTGCTTAAAGGGCCAAACCCAAAGCTCCCAAGTGTCCTGTTGTTTGTTCTCGGTATGGGCATGAAAAGAAGGGAAACAAACATGTCATGCGATGCCTGTGGACACGATTGCCGTAGCCTCAGTTTGAGCCACTTCAAATGTAGGACAACTTCTCAAAGGGCGTTGTAGCATACATCTACGGTTGCAGCGTAAGGTGTTGACTTACAAAAATATGGTTCAGTTTCAGTGTGCCAAATAGCAACAGCAGCAGCAGCAGCAACAACAACAACAAGAACAACAACAACAACAACAACAACTACTACTACTACTACTACTACTACTACTACTACTACTACTACTAC